TGTGTGTGTGTTTGGTGAAGGAAGTTCCCTGGGAATCCCCCTCCAATTCCTCTCCCCTTTACTGTACTTGACATTTAGTGTTGGAGCAACAGGATTATTTGCTTTCATTTTTACTTTGCAAGGGCAAAGTTCAGAATTTGCTTTGCTCCTGCAAAAAGGGGGGGAAAAAAACAAAAGGGGAAGAAAGCCTTCCAGGGCTCACTCATCCAGTTTGCTTTTCCCAGGTAGCCGGGATCAAAGTGAGTTGGCGGCTTTTCCATCCTGGCCCCTTCTCCTGCCTTGTCCTCTACTCTGTGTTCCAAGAAGACGGTTCTCTCCATGCGCTTCTTCTAGACAGGTTATGGGCCGTTCTTCCGTTCCCGGCAGGGCTCAGATTCATATCCCACCCCTGCAAGAAGCCTCACCTAGAAGTTTTCAAGCAGCACCAGGAGGAGGAAAAGTTGCTTCAACTTCGGGGAACTCGTATTTAGAGAGCGGAAACAATTCCGCTCCGTTTGCAAGCATGATCTCCCATAAGGCATGGTTGAAATAAGTGTGCTCCCCCCCCCATGAATGTGTGTGTTGGTTTGTTGTTGAGTTTTGTTTTGGTGTGTGTGTGTGTGTGTGAGAGAGAGAGAGTGTTTTTTTTTGCCCCATATTGAAATCAGGATTTGGGTTTGCCTTGAAATAGGGTGTGGAGGCGAGAGCCGTAAATACCTCTCTTGGCTAACGGTCCTTGGCATCCTTCGGCTTCTCTCTCACCCCCCTTCAGTCTAAAATTAGCAGCTACTCCGACAAACAGAAAGGTCTGGGAATGTTTTGTCACTCTTTCAGAGTTTGATTTTCCTGGCAAGGAGGGCGACCGAAGGAAAGCAGCCAGGTCGAAGGGTAACACAGTCTGGGCTTGGATGTTTTAACTCGAGAAGGAGGAGCTCCTCGGAAATGGAGGCTAGATTAATATTCACACATATGTTTCCAAGATCTTGCTGCTTTTGAATCCCTGGATGTCTCATTTCATTGGCTTCTCGTCGTGGGAGGAAAATACAATAGAACTGAGACTGCTGTGGGATGAGCTTGGATCCTGTGTTCTGTGTCTCGGAGTTTGCAGTAACAGGCTCAAGCTTTTGCATCGCAGAAACACAGTTCTGCAACCTGCATAAATTATCCACATGCTGATTTAAATATACTTCTTTTAGAATCATCCTGTTCTTGTTGCCGTGCCTAACTGGCAAAGAAGCTGCACCACTGCACAATGATTTTGCTTCAAGCCATTTTATATCACATTTTATCTGCCTTTCTGGCTTCTAGCATTTTAGCAGGCATTGTCCAGAGGCTTTGAAGTTCATCGTTGTGGCCTCAAGGGCTAGCTTTTTTAAGGCTGAGTTATTCACTGACTCGGAGTTGAAGCCAGCTTGCTTTTTCCCAAGTTAGTGGGATGTAGAGAAGAGCAGGCTCAGTCGAGGCTAATGTCAAGGAGGTTTGAAGTGGAAAAAGCAAGGCCTAAATTAAACCATTTTGCTCTGGGAAATGAGCCAGGTTTGATCCGGAAGGCAGTAAGATGCACGGGATTGGAGCCACATGGGTGCAAAATGGCTCCCAGTCCTTACGCCTCATCCGCCAGAGGTGCGGCCTTGAAAATTGTCGCCAGTGATGGATCAGATGATGTTTGCACTGCCCATAGCTGGCTGTCGCTAGTGGTGGCATTCAGTTTATTGCCAGATGCAACCGGCGTGTGTCAATTTTGCCTTTTTCTGTATGAGTTCATAAAATACTGATCTCTTGCAATCCTCTTGGCATCCTCATCCGTGAGACCTCTAGCAAGAAGGTGGTGTGTATGCATATGTCCAGGTTCACATCCTAACTGGTGTCATCAGTGCCTTGATTTGTTGCTGCGGAAAATACTCCAGCTATGTAAAGCCGCTTCAGTCGTTCTTTCTTGATGGCAGAGCATTGCACGATTTAAAATTATGAACTTATAGGAAATGTAGGTAGAATCAAAAACAAATTTAAGATAAAGAGACCTTTTTTGATCAGAAGCAGGCTACTTAAATAGCCTTATCTCGGCCATTTGCTCGATCTTCCTCTGTACACATGGTGGGGCATAAATTGCGTGGACATTAAGTTCTTCATTGATTGAATTTCTCTACAGTCACAGAAAATTTGTCCTGTATCCAAGTAGCCCTGTTTAACTTGTTTGTTCCCGCTTTGGTTCGAAGTCTATTGAGTGACTTCCAGCTAGGGTCTTGTCCTGCTGGGATTCGTGTATCCAAGTAGCCCTGTTTTACTTGATTGTTCCTGTTTTGTTTTGAAGTCTATTGAGTGACTTCCACATGCTCCAGCTAGGGTCTTGTCCTGGTGGGAGACCCTCATCAGCATTCATCCATTCGACAAGGTGTGTCATTTTTCTTCCCCATAGGTTTATGCCTAGCCTCTTCCGGTTTAATATTTAGATGGGTGCAGAAAACTCTTCCTTGATTTTAGCCGTCATCTAAGGGGATTGGTGGGACGTGGTGGTGCTGCGGGCTAAACCGCAGAAGCCTCTGTGCTGCAAGGTCAGAAGACCAAGCAGTCGTAAGATCGAATCCACGTGACGGAGTGAGCTCCCGTCACTTTGTCCCAGCTCCTCACCAACCGAGCAGTTCGAAAGCATGTAAATGCGAGTAGATAAATATGTACCACCTTGGTGGGAAGGTAAAACGGCGCTCCCTAGTCACGCTGGCCACGTGACAATGGAAACTGTCTACGGACAAGTTCTGGCTCTACGGCTTGGAGACGGGGATGAGGACCGCTCCCTAGAGTCGGACACGATTGGACTAAAAATGTCAAGGGGAACCTTTACCTTTTTACCTAAGGGGATTGGTGTCCATGAAGTGAGTGGGTTTGGTGTTGTATTACCTTGTGTGTTCCATTATTTGCTAACATCTCTCAACTTAACAGAAGGAGAGATTGAAAGAGCACTGAAATGGAGGAGAAAAGCAATTTAAAAATTGGAGGAATGGAAGAGACAAACAGACATGGGGGGGAAAAACCCCAAAGGATTTCTGACCATTGCAGAATTTTTTGTTTTTGTTGATTTTACTTTTAAAAAGCATCATTTTATTGTATATCCCTCTTTCTAGCCATTTTTTGTGCCTGCTTCTCTCTATTATTCAGAACACAACTGGTGGGATTCTAAAAACTCTTACTTAACAGCTTCATTTATCGAAATCTGCATGGTACCCGAACTCCTTTTTTTTCCCCAGGTTTAGAATTGAACTTTGAGACATAAAATACAGCGCAGAGGCCAGGAACCTCTTCAAACCAACAGGAAAAAATATGTGCGCTTTGCACACCAGAATCTAAATTAAAACATGGCTAAAGGAAATGTGGACCCAAGAGTGTAACAAGGAAATGAACGCTAAGAATAATCCCCCTTCCCACCCCCATAACCTCCCTCTCCCAGGTAAATGGTGGTCAGTTCTATAGTGCTGTCAAGGATGTGATCTGTTGCACAGGAGATGAATCTTGGAAGGTCCTCCAGTGTCAAAATAAGGGCATCGTGCATTAAGAAGACCTGAGGAGGGTCCGTGGCTGAGTTGAAAGCTCTTCTTGGCTTTCCATGCAGGAGACCCTGAGTTAAGTCCTCTCCCTCAGGCATCTCCAGTTGAGAAAAGCAGCTCCAGTCGCTAGTGATGAGAAGAGTGAACACAAGGTAGTAAACTGTTCCACAGAGGGCGTTCAACTGGGCCTTAGCTTTCATCCTCAGGCTTAACCAGCTTGTCCCAGCATGGTTAGAAGGAGGGAGTGACTGACAGGCGTCTCCCCCTTTCATGGAGAACTTGGGTGGTTGAGTTCTGACTGCATTGGTGGCCCAGCGGGGCTCCTCAAAGAGAACAGGACTCCTCAGATTTGCAGAAAGGTGGTGAAGCTCACTGAAGGTGGAAGCTATTTAGGAGAGACACTGGGTGGGTAGGGGGTGATGGGGAGGCGAGTCGGAGAGTGAACATCCGGTTGAGGAAACCCTGAGCCAGATCATTGCACTGAAGCATTTCGTTTCAGACCCCGTTTTGTTTCTTGCTGTCAAAGAAATCACCCGTCAAGATTTGCACAAAATCGCAAATAACGGTCGAATTTTGTAACTTGACCATCTGTACAGTAAAAGATTTCAACCCTATGTTTGTCATGGAACATTTTATCACATAAGTTGATAGTCTGTGGTAATAATTTTAGAACTTCAACAAGATGTGTCTTGCTTATTGTATGTCATCTGCAGCGGTGTTGGGTGCCCATTACCATATTGCAAATGTTTTTTGTATGATTGGCACAGCGTGTAGCTGCCAGATTAGACCTCTTATTAGTTGTCAGGATATTGATGATCTGAGCATCGTTAATTCAAACAGCATCGAACACATCCCTCTCATGATCTTGGGTGAACCAGGGCCCATTTTATCTAAACACTTAGCACTCATACTTATTCTCTCTCTCTCTCTTTCACATTTTTTAAAATTTCACTTAATGCATACTAAACAAAAAGGGAAGAAACAAAAAAAATGGGAGGAAGGAAAGGGGGCTTCACGAGGGTTGACCAGTTTTTATGGTTTCTTCACTCTATGATGCTTTGGATCTTCTCATGCATTTTTCAGTTCTTCTTGGAATCATTTCTTCCTTGATTGCTAACAATTATAAAGTTTGTTATACAACTAATAAAGAGTCAAAAAGAACCAAAATCTAAACTATACATACGGTTTATCTGGAATTCTACGATTCAGAATTATTCTTCCCTTGGTCAGTATTTTCTTTATCTAACATAAAGTCCCATGTGGGTTTCCATGTTGTTTTTTAAAGTCCGCTAGAAGCTCTGAGATTTTTGCCATTTCAAGGACTTTGAGTAGCCATTCCTCTACTCTCCGTACTTGCTTCACCTTCCAGTATTGTGCATAGACAAGTCTTGCCGCCATCATCACGTATCTAATACGCATACTTCTCAAGCCGGTTGAAAACACTCCCACGTTAATTGGTGACGTCTCTGCGTTTTCTTTTAGATTAATCAGGAAAGCTGGTGTCCCGTCGAACCTTCTTCGGATCCCTCCCTGTTGGCGCCCAAACCTCCTTGTGCTAATGCAGGTGAGACAAATTTCCTTACTCTCTGAACTATTAAAAGCAGAGACTGTGTTCCTGGATGCCGTTCCTTGGATGTCAGACTGTGGGAAACCACTGCGTTCCCTGGAACTGTTGTGTCAGACTGCCAGTCCTGTTGAAGGAGCAGGAAACGTGGCTTTCCTACATCCAGTATTGCTGCTCTAGAATCAAGAGATCTCAGTGGCTCTGGCCACCATTGTTTTTAACTGTTGTGTCAGACTGCCAGTCCTGTTGGAGGAGCAGGAAACGTGGTTTGGGAGCTTTCCTACATCCAGTATTGCTGCTCAAGAATCAAGAGATCTCAGTGGCTCCGGCCACCATTGTTTTGTTCTAGCTTTGGCTGCTTTGTTGGCCTTTGTTATCGGCCTTCTCTGACAAGGGATAGGGCAGCTAGTTTGGTGCTCTGGTAACCTCCCAGTTGGATTGTTATAAGGCAGAACTGGGAGACGTCAAGGGGTTGGAGGTGGGATTTCTGCCCATTGTTTCCTTCCTCCAGCCTTGGGGGGGGGAACCAAATGTCGAAGTGACGTTCACATAGAACAATTAATTGCTCGTGGGGCTTGCCTCCAGATGTAGTTTGGTATCTCCAACAAATACAGCTGTTTGAAGCTGGATTTTGTACGCTTGTTCACTTGTGTTGTGAACTGCCTTTGGGAGGCCTTGCGGGGAAGAAGGGTGAGTTTTAAACTTTGAAAAAAGAAGGCAACGGGGTCATCCTGAAACCGTTGTTCCTTTTTATGGTTAAGGCACCACACCCCTTAAGGGAGCCTCCGTCCTCAATTTATGGATGCTGAACAGAAGACATCTTGGGAGATGGAGAGATAGATCTTTGCGGGTGGCCCTTGGCTGTCCTGAGGTTAAGGAGCGCATGCCGAGGTGGGCATGCCTGGGGGGGGGGAGTAATTTCCCCATTACTGTTGCCCGATAAAGGAGGAGGATGTGCAACTGGGTCAGTGACAACTCTGGAGGACTCGGAAGGAGCTTGGAAAAACTGGGTTAGACTCAAGTGGGGGGTGGGCTAGGAGGTTGAGAAGCCAGATCTTGGTTGTGGGTGATCCACTGGAGAAGGAAGGAAGAGGGGTGGGATGAGAGGAGAGGAGGACACCTGGGGTGGGGTTGCATGGTGTCACGAAAGAGGAACTGGAGAGGATTTGAAGAGGCTTAATGGGTAACCTAGTGGAGCGTCAGGGACAGAGGAAGATGTGTGTGTTGGAAGGGACGCTTCTCATGCCCTTTTCCTGACCCTGCGGTACCTTTCAGCACGAGTTGATTAACTTTTCTAGACACGGTATCCACCCAGTGGTGAACCTGGAACTTCCTTTTCGATTTTCCACTCCGAAGGACGCTGCTTTTGAGGCGCTTGGCTTGTTTTCTCGGTCTGGAATGTGGCGGGGCATGCTCTGTTGGGCCGCCAGCTGGAGTCGTGGGGACGCTGGCTTACAAACGGTTCGGGCTTTTCTCTCCCCCCCCCTTTTCCACATACCCGCCCACTCAACGCCTCCCTCTTTTCCCCTTTCCTGCTGAATGGAAAAGAAAGTCAAACGTGCCAGGTTGGGGTGAAAGCAGAGAAGGTGCAGAGAATGGAACTGCAGCTGATAAAATAAAAGCCTCTCCCCTCTCCAGCCTGGCTGCTCCTCCTTGACATTTTGCCCCATCCTGGCTATTTCTTTCTCTCTCTTTTCCCCCCAAATAGAATATTTCTTGTGCTTAGGGCTGTATGTTGTTGTAGTGGTGATGCTTGATCGGGGAGGACCTAGGACCGAAGAATCCCATTCAAATCTCCGAACCGTTACCATTAGGACCATTTTGTCTTTCACTGGCAGAGCACAGAAGCCTAGTACTGAGCTTATAACTAAAAAACGATGACCTGTAATAAGACAAAGAAAACCGATTGATTTATTGTGTAGTGCTGGAAGATAGGGTCATTTCTAACCACTGGCAGAGCACAGAAGCCTAGTACTGAACTTATGACTACAAACGATGATCTGTAAATAAGATAAAGCAAACCTACTGATTTATTGTGTTGGGATAGTGTTGCAGGATAGGTTCATTTCTAAACAGTAGAAACAGAATAAACTATATGTAATAATGGAGTGATCTGCATCTCAGAGTTATGCAAATTTGCGCAAACATATACAGTGGACAGATTTTGTTTATTCATTTATCCCGCCACGCCTTTCTCCTTAAAAAGGATCCAGAAACTAAGCATTTCTCATTGCAGAACTGTGATTTCGTGAAAGCAGTTATTGTTTACTCCTCCCCACCCCAAGGCATGGAAGAAGATGAATATACCTTTTGAGAGTGTTGCAAAGAGCTACTGTTTTTATGAAGGGGAGCTGTATTGAACATGTGAAAGTACTGTAATAATTCCTGTCTCGTGTGGATAGGTGTGAAGTAAGCTCATTGGTAGGATGTTAAGAGATGGGCAGGAACTGGCAGTTCGGCAGTTCATGGTGGTTCGTTTATGAGTCTAACAGGTTTTCAGCCCACGAACCACCACGAACTGCTGAACCATCTCTAGTGCAAATTCTTAGCAGAGCTATTGTGAATTCTACGATATTTATCAGAGCTCACGAATGGGTTCAAAGTGGGTTTCAATGTTTAATTCTTCCCCTCTTTCTCCAGATGGTTACAATTTCCTAGAAGATGGTTTGCCCAGTGACACCCCCTCCTCCCAAGTTATCCTTCAAAGAGGGTCGGAGAGCGAGTCTGACTTTTTCCCTCTGTCTGGAGATGGGATGGACGAAATGGACTTTGGGAAGGTAGGCTTGGTTTTGGATCCAGCTTGATCGTTGCTACGAAGGGTTTGCTACTCTTGCAGGGGTTCCTTATAGTGGGGTCCCCCTTTTTGGTCACCTGCGAGGTGGGATTTTCTCTTGTTTGATATATGCATCTCGGCTTCACATGTGGAGAAGCACGAGCGAAGCATTGTCTTTCTTGGTTCGAGATGCGTGTTGCAAAAAAGTGTTGGCGTGGGAGACCTGATTCCTTTCGTTTCAGGGTCCCCAATGCACCCCAAACCCTCTCCCGATTTTTGTGTATGTTTTAATCAACCACGCAGCTGCATCTCATGTAAAAGCAGTGACAAAGTAGACACGGATCTATTAATCCAACCACTTAGAAATCTCTCAGACTGCTGGTCCAAAGGAAGAATTAAAGTATGCTGAGACATTATTCCTCCATACAAAGCATAATGAATGGACTCTATGGCCTTGGGAAGATCAAATCATGCTTATACACAGCAAGTGATGCCACTGCAAGGCCTTTGGATGGGTTCCATTGTTTATATCCATGGCTCCGTTCTCATTCTTTCTTCTCGAAAGGAACATTCACCGTAGCAGGCAGATGATGTGACTTTCCCCGTCCGAATGAAACATGCTGTGTCATGTCATTTCCGGTGATCTTCTCTGTTTAAGGCTCGCCCCTCCTCCCCCCCACCTTGCTTTTCCTACCAGACCCATATACTTCCAGCAACCCTAGCTCTTAAGACCTCTTGGCCTCCCACATGTTGGGAACCGTCCTGTCTGTCTGCTTCTTCAAGGCTGCCCATATGCTTCTCAATTAGGGCTTGTGGTCAATGGCATTGGGGTTGAGCTAGAATGATGGGGCTTCTAGCCAGCAAAGTAGATGTGAATCTGGGGGGAAAAAATCTTTTCCATCTCCTTTTGCCTCCTGCACAACTCAGGGAGTGGTGAAGGAAAGGGTGAGGCAGAGAGGCAAATACTAATTTTCATCTGTAAAATTCTTTTCAGTTTCCACACATGCACAAATTCCCCCCAAAAATGCTAATGTGATTCACGGTGGGTTTTTGGGTTTTGTTTTGTTTTGTTTTTGGCTTTTTCTCCCCGGCCACAGAACCGTCTCCTAATAGTTGGCTTTGCCACAACAATGTTCTTATTCTGTCTCCTCCTCTCAGGAAGACTTTTTACGTACATCTGCATCGCTTAGCAGTAAAGAGCGGGCGCGGAGAAGCTGTTTATAACTGGACTGCTCAGTTTGGACTATTGAAACCAGATGAGAGAGTGTTGTGTAAAGGATTTTGCAGAGCATCTCTGACAGCGTTATTTTTTTTGCCAGAGAAATCAGCGCAGGGCGTGTTCGAAAGTCACAATGAGCGGTCCTCCCTCCTTGTACCATAAGCCTTTGCATAGCAGTATGTGTGGAAGGCAGGCCCCCTTCCCAATAAGTCTATAGCCTAAATTTAGCAGGTCTAAATGGGAGAAGTTCTGGCTGAATAGCTCAGTGGTTGAAGAATCAGAGGTTGGGAGTTCGATTCCTCCACTGTGCCTCCCAGGGGAAGAGCCAGCCTGTGTAGCCTTGGGCAAGTTACACATTCCCAGGACTCCCCCTAGAGGAAGAGAATGCTAAACCACTTCTGAGTACTCTCTACCTGGAAAACCTTAAAAAGGGTCGCCGTAAGTCAGAATTGACTTGACAGCACATGATTATTATTGAATAGGGGAAGGGATGAGCAGAGGGATTAAAAACAAAGAGGTTTCCCTCACTTGGAGCTCTGACTTCATGAAACAGCGATAGTTGTCATCATCGGATGTAGGGTGTTTGAGTAGGTGTTGAGCTGATGAGATTAATTCCTTCTTTATTAAATGTGCATGCCACTCTTTGCCCCAGGACATCAAAGGTAATGTACTTGGTTGTTCTGCCACTTCTCTCACACAACAATCCTTTGAGGTAGGAAAGATGAGAGGGAAATAGTCTTAGAACTGCAGAGCTGAGAATGGCCCCTATTGATCAGTGGCTCTGAGCCTTGGGTCACCCAGGTGTTCTTGGAATTCAGTTCCCAGAAACCCCGACCAGCACAGCTGGTGGGGAAGACTTCTGGGAATTGTGGTCCAAGAACACCTGGCTTCCCCACGGTTGGGATGCACGGCTATAGATCATCGAGTCCAGCCCCTGTCAAATAGCCACAGTAGGGCATCGAACTCCCAACCTCTGGCTCCACAACGAGATATCTGAACCACTCAGCTCTTTACCAGTTCTAGTGCAAGCTCAGAAAGAGGCAGTAAAGCAAGGCACTGTGTGACTAGTTCAAGGTAACCCAGTGAAATTCATGGGATTTGAAGTTGTGTCTTCTCCATCCCGGTCTCATGACTTTTGACTCCAGCATTGCATCGAAAGTGAGATGGGTTAACCTTAGCTGCTGTTTTTTTAAGTTGTGTTAGAAAGGAAGGTTCCTTGATTCAAGAATACACAACGGTATTAATACGAGACATATGATCCGTCCCCGCATATGATGTGATGAGATTGTGATCTTGTGCTCCATGTGGTTTGGGTGTTCAGCTTTTGCATGAAACTTTGCTTAAGGGGATTTCTGTCAAAGCAATGTCTCTGTGCAAACTTGGAATTATGGAAGGCTGTCTGTAGGGACTTCTCCTTTACGTAATCTTGTGAATAATTGCCAAGGACTTTTCAAACCGCCTCCAGGAGAGTGACCTTCAGTGAGATCATCCTCCTCGGCTGTGTCACTTTCCTCAGTTTTGTTTACGGGGGGGGGGAGTCTGTTGTTCCCAAACTGCCACCGGGTGGCTATGGATAATAAGTCTACAGGTTAAGATCCAGAGCAGTCTGAGAGAAATTGAGCAGCAGGGTTCCTAATTCCTGTAAGTGATGTCAGCAAAACTTACATGGCTCTTGTGTGAGAAATGAGGGCACGTTAGAAAGTTGTGTTTGCAGCTCATTTCCCGTCAGGAAAGTTGAAAGACATTTGGTCGTTTTCAGCGGGCATTGGAACGGATTTAGCCAGTTGGAGAAGCCGGGCCATTATTATAACTTCTTTGGAAACCTTACTCTCTCTTGCTGTGGCGTGTTCTGATATTGTGTTCTGCTCCGGCGGTTTGGAAGCTTCAGGCAGGAGGGCAGGCAAGCAAATAAAAATGAAGTTTATGTTTGTTGGGTTTTTCTACAGCAGGCTGAAGAGGAGCAATCGGCTGGAGATAGTACGAGTTCCAGTTCCTCAGCGGAGGACACCATATCCTTGGAAAGGAACTCATCTCTGGGAAGCGACACGTCCCTCCCTCAGCAGGCGCTTGGCCTCAGCAGGCCCAAAGACCGGCCCAGCTTGGACGGTGGCGCTTTCAACATGGCTGCAGGGGTGGGGGGTCTGGATGGTGAGGAGCCTGCCTTGGGAGAGCTGGATGAAGAGCTGGACCGCATCACAGAAGTGCCCCCACCTCCTTCGGCCCTGAGGAACTCCGTCAGACCCTTGTCTCCTTTCCGCCGCCACAGCTGGGGCCCCGGGAAGAACGCCAACAGCGAGTCGGAGATCAACCACCGGAGGTGAGTGGAGGGCTCCTGGATTTCTGCAAGCTAATAATCCAGAGCTGAAATTCCTGCAATTGGTTATCTATGCATATGGGAATAGAAACATCCTCATGTAAGAAAGATACATGTGACAAGGTGATAATTGCATTCAATAGATAGAGCATTCTGTCCGTCTATTATTGTGTGAGCCCTTGCAGGAAAAAGTCTGTGCCAGCCACTCCCCCGGGGTCAAACATGACATTAAAGGGGAATGAGAATTCCCAAGGATTATCCCATTGATGCTCCTACAGTAAGATTTTTTTGCTTTAGCAATCAAACTCTGTTGGCCCTCTAGTGACCAAGTACAAAATAGAGCATGCGAGATACAGGGGTGAGGAAAATAATGTGCTATGACGAAACAGCATCTTCTGCCATGCGAGGAAGCGGCTTCTCTAAATGCATGCTAGGTATATAGTGCAGTTTTATCCTTAGTTGGTGGTTTTCAAGCACATATCTGCACGTCTGTAAACCATGTGATGGTTTGTGGACACAGAGGCAGCTGTGTTGATTAGTAAAGAGAGTCCTCTTCACTTATCCTTACATTGGATTCAAATCTGTTTACCAAAAAGGAATCCTTTATTTGCTTGTTAAGACCTAAGATACCACCTCTTCCATACGCTAATACACATGTTGTCTTCCTCAACTCTGTTTATCCCATCCTTTCATTCAGCATTTCATTCCCGGAGGTTCTCCCCACTGCTGTCTGGGGAGTCTCCTACTTGTTTACGTCTGTCCCTTCTCATTGCTGACTGACCATTGTTCATGATTCATTTTCAGTTCAATGCGATTGCTGGGGGATGGTGTAAAGAAGCCTCCCACCCATAGGAGAAGGTACAGCACACCACCTGTTGCTGACTAACCATGTATTGTGATTTAATCGCTACTAACTGTGTGCTTTTGGGGTTCGACATACCAGAGTACCTGGCTCAAACATCAGATTACTTGGATCCTGACAGCCAGTTTTAATGCAAAATACAGTGGTGCCTCGCTTGACGGGGCTAATTCGTTCCATTGAAATCACTGTTAAGCGAAATCCTCGTCAAGCAAAGCGAAAAAGCCCATTGAAATGCATTGAAACCAGTTCAGTGTGTTCCAATGAGCTAAATACCTCAGCGTCCAGCGAAGATCCTCTATAGGGCGGCCATTTTCTGTGCCTGTAAAGCGAGGAATCCATCCTGAAAACACAGCGGGCGGCCATTTTAGAGTCGCCGATCAGCTGTTTCTAAATCGTTATTTAGCGAAAAATTGGTTCCCGAAGCAGGGAACCGATCATCGTTAAGCGATTTTTCCCTATTAGAACATCGTTTTGCAATCGCAAAAGCAATCACAAAAACTTCATCAAGAGGTTTCGTCATTTAACAAGGTAATTGTTAAGCGAGGCACCACTGTATCCCTAGATTTTTTTTCTTGTAGACCTGGTTTGAATTACAGCTTACTGTTTTGAGATGACAGGGCAGGTTTTAAAAATAAATATATATGTGTGTGTGTTTATTTAAAAGAGAGAATATCTTTTAAAATTTCTTTCTTGTGCACCCTAAGTTGGCCCTCCAAGACGTGGTTGCCAGAACACTGAGAATCAGCCTTTTGCTGACAAATGTCTTTCCCCTCTCATACCTTTTCATTGAATTGGTTACTTTCTCATTCAAGCAAACCACAGTTTATTGTTGCAGATGGGGAGGCAGACTCTTCTTTGCTTGTAAGCCATATTTGGAAACTGGTTTCTAATCTTTGTTCGGAAGGCTAGTGCAAACAGTCTCAGCACTAACACCAAATAATGTCCCCCCCCCGCAAAGCTTAATGTCTTTCCCCTCTCATACCTTTTCATTGAATTGGTTGCTTTCTCATTCAAGCAAACCACAGTTTGTTGTTGCAGATGGGGAGGCAGACTCTTCCTTGCTTGTAAGCCATATTTGGAAACTGGCTTCTAATCTTTGTTCAGAAGGCTAGTGCAAACAGTTTCAGCACTAACACCAAATAATGTTTTGGAAATCATTCATTAACAATGAATTTGGGGTCCCATTTCATTAAGATTTTGATGAGTCATGACTAGGTCTTCTTACTTTAATTCATTACTGGCCATTCTTCATAATACTAGAACCTTTAACAATAGTTTAATGATTTACATCCTTCTTTGGTCTAATAGCTTGGGTGCCAATCTTCTTACTTGTTTTCCTCTTAATGATCCCTCTCTAGTCATTATTTCTCTGCTCCAGCCTTTTCCTAAGAACTGGACTGTTCCCGGGAATTTTTGGGACTTCGGATTAGCTCATCCACCAGCTAGGAGAGTCCTGATAGGCTGGCTTTCAGTGCTCCCGTAGATGTAAATCCATGTGCCTTAAATTGCAGTTAGGAGATAGATTGACTCATCCAGAAGGTGGACATGTTCAGAGTTACACAAACAGCCACCTCTTGGTGATGTCCTCACCGGATAGAAGTGAGCATAGCTTGCTTTGCCGGTCAGCTATGTTCTCTCTTCTTTACAAATGAGCACCAAACATGTATAAAGAGTTGGTAAGCCTCAGACACCCAATAACAACAGGCCTCTTGCTCTCTTTTGCCTTACAATGTCTCCAGCTTGAGCTGGTGTCCTTCTGGTGTCCAGTGCACTGCCATGGGCGCTGACTTCAACGGTAGAAGGTAGGGTATCCATGAACGAGGCCTTAGCACCTGTGGGAGCTTGGTCGCCCAGCTCTGTCGGCTTTCTGCTTGGTGTCTTTAGTCTTTTTAGTCTTTTAGTGTCTTCTACATGTCTTGTAGCTTGAGCATTGTGTGGTCTCTGGTTCCTTGGCTTCATTTTGTAGGCTTTGAGTCATTAGAGCATGTGCCCACCTAAAGTTTGTCTAGCTAAAACTGGGGATCACCATGACTTAACTTAGGAAAGATGTAGGGTAACATAATGATGTCATATTAAGCTTGAAGGCTCTGAAGGTACCTCTGAATCATAGAGTGCCCTCTGCAGAACTTGGAAAATTGCTTTATAAAGGAGTTTATCTCCTTATGTACTACAGTTTTTGCATGCTGTGTTGCAGGGTTGAAAAGCAAATTGTTTACATTACTAGCTGTTCCACTCATTGTTTTTCTATTGTTTGTTGTTACTTAGATAACCAAAGTCCTAGGATTGATTTAAAAGTAGCATACTTGGAAAGTTGCTTTCAAAATGCCTCTGTTTAGAAGTGCTTTGTGAAAGTAACTAAAAAGTCCCTAGAAAAATGTTATTTATTACATGAGTACAGTGACTTAGACTTGTTACATTACTGTTGGTTATGTTTATGTTATCTTCATTCCAAAAAAAAAAAAAAAAAAAAAAGAGTAACTAATGCCCAGCAGCCTTGCAAGGAAATATATTAACCCACAAAAAGCTTTCAAGCTGTAGTTGCAGTGCAAAAACACACGGTCAGACTTACAGGCAAGAGCATCACGGCTCTCTTCCAAGTTAGAAACTTTTCCTCACCTAGTCGCCTCTGAGCAATTCTCACTCTACATAGGTGACCCAGAATGTCACTGTACTCATGCCTGTTACCTTTGCTGTGATTTATCCATGTTGGTGCAATGTTTCCTGGTTTTACTGGAGTCTGGCTGAAATTTCCAAATTCAAAAGAAAATGAACTTTTAAAAAGTGTGTAGCTTATCTGAACAGTGTCAGTGATAGTTTAACGGAATGGGAACTGGGCAGTAGGTGATCACCAAGTGTTTTGTTGAGAGGGAGTTTAAAGGGAGATGATGCCTCACTGACAACCGCCTATAAAAGCATGCCACCTCCTCCTTTTCAAACTTACCTGTCTCCTTGCCTGTTGTATATTGGAGAAAGTATCAAGTACGTAGCTGGTTAGCAGTTGTGGTGAAGTGGGTATGTGGTGGGATCTTAGTGCAAAGAGAAAGGAAATTCAGACCTGCATGCCAAGATACGTGTGTGTGTGTGTGTGAGAGAGAGAGAGAGAGAGAGAGAGAGAGTTGAAGGCTACAAGAAGACTGTGTTTCTGTGTTAAAGACTGAGAAGGTGAGATGAGAGGGCCAGCTCTGCCCCTTTGGTGAGGTCCATCACTCTGATGTAGCTCTCAGTCTATCGCCACATGTAGCCTTTGGATGCTAACAGTCCACTCTTTCCTGCTATGTCGTATGAGGAAGTTACTCTGCTCCTGACTCAGGTGAAGGCAAAGAGGGAGACTCCTATAAAGAGGTCCATCTGGTCTTTACCTGGTGATACAAACATCACCGATAACCCCAATTTTGCTAACTGTGAAAAGGCGAGCTATCGCCAGCTCCTGCTGACAATATTTTCTTTGCATCTGCTTCAAAAAGATGTTCCTGAGATATAGGAAAGCCACATTTCTCCACTAGAAGGCAAAGTTTGCAGCTAGCCAAGGTTCCCCTGAGTAGAATGCAGATTTTCTTGCCAAAAAAAAAAAAAATTCTGCTGGAATCTGTAGATATGGGTCTGCTTGCACAGAACAGGAGACATTGCACACGAACCATGTCAACTTCTGTTGTTGTCACTGTTACCTGCACTAATGCTAGCTCCTGCTAACTAACCAAAGAGATGAGGCAGTGCTCAGTGTCTTGGCAGTGTATTCCTTTGAAACACGATTTCCTTGGGAGCCTTCCTCCAGAGCATGCCTTAGCTGGCACATCGTTTTCTGTGGTCAGTCCATTCACGAACCTCTGCAAGTCTAACACCCGCTGTCTGTCTCCAGTTACAGCTTAGAGGGTCTTGCTGGAGAGGCCGACAACCTGAAGAAGCCGTCCTCAGGGCTGGAGGCGGCCTCTCTGAACGCCCCAGACCTCCAGCAGAGCCCTCTGACAAACGATGAGCGAGGGTCCTTGGTCTCCCTCACAGAAGAAGAACTGGAATCCGAGCAAGTGGAAGCAAGAGGCTTTGACCGCCAGGTGAATGGTTCTTCTAAGTGTTTTGCAGTAAGGCAGTTTTATCTTGTTGGGTGGTCTCATCTTTCTAGAGATGCGCCTCTAAACACGTTTGGGGAAACCAGGGGTTGATTCATTGGCCATAGCGATGGATGACAAGGTGGAAAGGAGTTGGCAGACCAAGAGCACGGGAAAAACTAGAATGTCCTGCCCCTCTGATGTGGTGGGTATTGTCGTTAGGGTATGGCATTGGAGGGGTTCTTTTTCTGCTGCCAGAGATTCAGAGACTTCTTCAAGCTTCTGGGCATGTTCCCAGAGTTCACCAAGCAGACGTCAGAGGTCCAAGAATGTTGATTCCAAACGCCCGGTTCTTGATGAGAGTCATGACCCAGCCAGAGAGCACTTGTATGCCCATTCTCCCTCCTCCCCAGGTGCCCGGAAGGAGTCCTCTGATTTATCACACATCTCAGCTCCTTGCCCACTTGCCAAAATAGTTTAGTTGCAAGTGAGGGGAAGGTGTCTAGGGTACACAGGCGAGGGGTTTGTTACTACTCCTGCAGGAGAGGAGAGAGTCAAAGGGAGCATTGTCCCAGGTAGAGCTTGTATCACTTGGGTTGGCCAACGGAGGTAGAGCTTGTATCACTTGGGTTGGCCAACGGAGGTAGAGCTTGTATCACTTGGATTGGCCAACGGAGGTAGAGCTTGTATCACTTGGGTTGGCCAATGGAGGTAGAGCTTGTATCACTTGGGTTGGCCAACGGAGGTAGAGCTTGTATCACTTGGGTTGGCCAACGGGAACCAAAGGAAGCAACAGATAGATTGTTGGGATGGGAAGTGATCTGTAGGGTGGGCGTTTTCTTGGGGCTCTCCTTGGGGCTCTCACGCCTTGTCCATTGAAGGCGGATGAACTCATCGGGTTCCTTTTATACCCCACAGAGACACCAAAGATCGCAGCCGCGTGCCTTCAACTTCTGTCCAAATCCTGTCTCTTCTCCGTTGACCAAATCCATGTCCCTGATGGCCATCACTCAGACTGGACCAGACAGTGAGTACACTCGACTCTCGGCCTTCTCCTCTCCTGCCCTCTCCAGCTGAGGAGCAAGGTGCCTGGAGAGGGTCCTAATTGCGCCGTTTCTTTTGCAACGCCGCACTGGCTGTGTGCTGCTTCGCTGCCAGTAACGTGATGAGAGCCGGAAGCTGCTTTAGGGTGCTAACCTTTCTTGTCTGGTCTCCAGCGTTTTCCAGCACTGCTGCTTTGGGCGTCTTTTTGGTGGGAGACACCTCAGACTAGGGATGTAGGCATCAGATAGGGCCCCATCCATGGACTTCTGCATCTTCTCCCCTTCCTGCCACCTTGTCTGTACCCTCTTCCGTCCATTTTTTAAAGACCTATTTGAAAATGCTCACATTTTTGCAGACTGTTTCCAAACTATTAATCTCGCCCAAACTTAAACCGCGGTCTCCCTGAATCCGTACTCCAAGCATTATGCCACATTGGCTGACATGTTACCCATGTCATTTAGTGCTGTTTGGGTGGGGTTTAATGGATATACTTCCATCATATTTGTGATACATCTTGAAATAACCCATCATAAGGATAAATTAAAAAGAATGAGGGGCTAGGATAAGGAGAAAGAAATAACAGTGAACCTTTGTTATTTGCATATACATGCATGCACACAGCATGCATGTGAGTGCACACACACATATACATATGTGCACACACACAAACACACACATCATTATATATCTTTTAATTCCCAGCTGTTCCCAGAAGATGCCATTTCTTCTGTGGTTGAGGGAAACATCAACCCTGCTGTACTGAAAAAACAGACAGACAAGCAAATACAAACCAGCAAGGAGACCACCGGCATCTTATCATGAATGTTCTCTCTCTCTCTTTTTGAGAATGAACATTCGCTTGTTCTACATGTAGCTTGAGTGGTGAAAGACGGGGCAAATAATCTCTACTTTTGTGCTGTTTAGAAGCAGAAAAGCGGTGGCGTATGTTCTGTTGTGTGATTGTATGCCTATTTTATGGGTTGGTTTGCTGGTCCAGAAGCTATGTATGTCTGTGAACATTGATTTGTAGAGGTCCGTTGAGCATCTCAAGGAGTTTGACTCTAATGAGAATGATGTAATTGTTCTTAGGATCTCTATCCAACCTGAATCCATCTGTATCGCCCAGAGGTAGGGGTGCTGGTTACTCAGAATAATCTGATTCCATAGTTTTTAGAGGAGTCTATTCTATTCTGATCAGAAATCCAACCTCAGGAGCATGGATAGTAGAATTCTGCACATATTCCTTTTTTTAAAAAAGAGGATGTGTTTTTTGTCTCTTTTTGGGTGGGGGTTGTTTTTACCTAATTTCATAATTGCAATGATGTCTGTAGTGAAATGAGGTTGCATTTCACCGCCGCCTATGTGGCCTTGGGCAAGCTGCACAGTCTCAGAGTGCCACCGAAAGGAGGGACCGGTTGACAACATCTGAGTATTCTATATCAAGAAAACTCTGGACAAGGCTGTCATAAATCAGAAGTGGCTTGGCAGCATATAATTTTATTTTAATTATAGTTCAGAAGCCAGGGTTCAGCCCTCAGTTCTTGATGCATTTTTTTAAAAGGTTATTTCGGGACTGACACGCACAGAGACGCACACCTGTGCAAGTGGTAGTAGCTTTTATGGGGCCAGTCATACCCCACCCACCCCCAGGAAATCCCACCTCTCTCAGAGTTATCGGTGGTGTGATGGACCATTTTATGCTGGAGAAACCATTCCTTTTAGGTCTTGACTCATGAGGCTGTATTAGGAAGCCCTGTGTGGCTTTTAAGAGGCACTTCAGCCACCCTTGTGATCGTATCGAGTGTCTGGAAAACAGGAGAGTGAGCTTCTTTGTCCTGCTACAAATCAATACAGTGGTGCCTCACTTGACAATGTTAATTTGTTCCAGCGAAATCGCTGTAGAGCGAAAACGTCAAACGAAATAAAAACCCATTGAAATGCATTGGAAACTGTTCAATGCATTCCAATGGGCTGAATACCTGCTCGTCCAGCAAAGATCCTCCATACGGCGGCCATTTTCAGTGCCTGTAAAGCGAGGAATCCATCCTAGAAAACAGCGGGGGGCCATTTTCTTCAGCCGGCGGCCATTTTGAAACCCGACGATCAGCTGTTTGCTGATCGTCGTAAAGCGAAAATCAGTTCCTGAAGCAGGGAACCAAAAATCGCACAGTGAAAAAAAACGATTTAAAACATTGTTTTGCGATCGCAAAAGCGATTGCAAAAACATCATTGTGACGCGGATTCGTCGTTAGACGGGGTAATTGTCCAGCGGGGCACGACACTGCCAGTGTGTTCCTGAGAGAAATTTCTTCTGCAGAAATGTAGGCCCTGACAGAAAGTTCTCCCACCTCTGGGCTTGACCCACACTAGAAACGCAGGAAGGAGCTTTCTGTTATGAGCAAATCTTTGGTCTGTCTTGCCCAGTCTTGTCTGTTCAGACAGGCCGCAGTTTCAGACATTCTTCTACATAGGGATTCGGGTATATCGTGGTGGAATCCCATGTATGCATTCACCAGACCAAGTGCTTCTTAGTTTCCAGAATCAGACAAGATCAAGTATGTTCAGGATGAGCCGTGGGACTCATGTAGTGACCATAGGGTCGTTCCTTTGTCTCGCAGCTCAGAAAGGTTACTCTGGTGTAGCACACATACTGGAACCCTCTACCTCAGGCTGAGAAATTCTTGGAATCATAGTCTGGGGGGAAAAAAAATAAAGTTATTAGACCCTGCTGTCTCTTAGGTTAATCCACCTTGAAAGACTTGCTCGTGAAGATATATTGTGATAGAGGTGGAAGGGGGGGGAGCCTTGCCTTTTGTCATTGCAATTCCAGGAGGTGCCAGAGTTGAAAATAAAGAATTGGAAAAAACTAATCAGATACAGAGACCCCGCCTTCGAAACATCTTGCCTCTGGAAGAAACTACACTTCCGTGGTCCCCGTAGTCATTGGGGCTATCCAAAAAATTTCACACAGTACTGTAAGCAGTTACAGATCTCAGAAATCACACCGCCAGAGCTACACAAAACAGCAATATTAGGAACCGTGTACATACTGTGTCTATATTTAACAGATAGATTTTTGGTTAAAACTTGTATCTGTTATAGAATACCACTCAATGTTTATACAACTTTGACTGTGCCTGGAGTTTTTGAATAATAATAATAGCAATAGCTGCCATGTGTTTTTAGCAGAAGCTCCAATTCCACAACATGCTCTGTGTTTTAACTTAAGTCCCATCTTTTGGGAGGGAGACTCTGAATACGGCAGCTGCTTTATGAGGAACAAGTCCTTTTTAGAAGATCCGTTTGGATTGCTCAAGCCTTGTGACTAATGCGGATGTTGACTGGAGGTTGTGTGTCTCTTAGCAACAGTAACCAAAACAGCACACACTTTTAATGTCCATCCCTTCGAAGAGTCACTCCCATGTTCCTCCTGTTTTTGAAGCCCATCATTTTATGTCCTTATATTTTTAGGAAAGAAAAAACAACAACAGAACACCAAAAGTCATATTTCTCTCCTGGTTGCTAACCAAACACATAAAAGAAAAAGGAAAGTGGGTGGTGGAGGAGGATTTCTTCCTTTCAATCAACTTTCCTTGATGGACTGGTGATTTTTTTCCTCTCTCTCTCATGGCAAGAAAACATTCTGGTCATCTCGGAAAGAAGCTTTGTACCAGTCTAAGCCTATTGGACCTTGTTTTACAAATTCTCCCGCTTCTTGGTTTCTACAATTTTCTTTGTGGAATTGGGTTCTGAGGTTGGATTGCTGGGCAGAAAAATGGAACAATAAACAATGTAAGGGCTGGCATCAGATTCTTCAGATTTTGAATTTTTTTTGGACGATAGCTCTAGATGGCCCCCAACCAACATGACCTGTAGGGTTCTTGGAGTTGCCATCTGGAAAAGTAATCTTTCTGAGTTCTTCTTGGCATCACAGTTGGCAGAGATAGGCCTTCTCAAGTGGTGGTGAGGAAAGTCCACATTTCAAGGGAAGGATGATGGTTCCTGAAATTGCATTGCGGCCAGCAACCTCTAGGTGGATCACGATGCAATTTTTGTCTGGGTTTCTTTATCAATATCATTTATGCACTACTCTTCATCCTGCTAATTTCCAGGACAGTGTGTGAACAGACACAGAGGATAAGACACAAAGATCCATATTTTAAGAGTGAGAAGCAGTTTGTTTGTTTGGTGGGGTTTTTTTTAACCCCTTCACTTTCAGGATAGGCAACCACGTGTCAGGAGAAAGTAGTAGAGAAGGGACTTTCAACCATGAATAACCAGAATTCTTCTCCTAAGGGAACAACGAGCAGCCTGGTCCAGATAGTGGGCAGGATATTCTGAGAGTGTTTGTCTGGAAAATGGAGGGTTTCCAGCTCTGCTTTTACTGCAGTGATGTTCTGTCGTCCCTGAGCACCGAGGCAAGAAAGAAGCCAAGATTTTTCCTGCCAGAAAGTCTAGTTGCGAAGATGGACATGGCAAGCTGCTCAAGCCTTGAACTAATACGGATGTTGACTGGTTTGAAGTCAGATTTGTAGTCAGAACCCAGCTGGTCATCTTAACTAGATGAGCCTGCTGAATCCATGGATTCAAAATCTAAATCTAGTTGCTAGACCCAGCTGGAGTTTGAGCCACTGACTCTGTTGTGCAGCGAAGGGAATTTGACTTTGAAGGTTCCTGTGTAAGTGTAGTTTGGAGGAACAGAAACATACTTGAGGAGGTCTTGTGATGTCGGGCCCATGGACTCTTTCTTTCTTTCTTTCTTTCTTTCTTTCTTTCTTTCTTTCTTTCTTTCTTTCTTTCTTTCTTTCTTTCTCTCTCTCTCTCTCTCTTTCTTTCTTTCTTTCTTTTGCATTTGAAAAAGGAGCCTTCAGCCCAGCATTTCAGCTACCCAGAGGCGAGGGGTGAGCGGATGGTTTGGCTGTTACAGATACATCTTCCAGAGCTGGACGTTTTGCACAAGCTCTTAAAAGTTGGACAACAGGG